TTTTAGCCCTGGATAGTTTCTTTTTTTTTTCTTTTTTTTTAAACACCCCCTGCAGTGCTAGTGGTACTGGTAAGAGCAGGTACCACTAGTACTCGGGGAGAGGCCCTATCTATTGGTGGGGAGCTTTCACCTGCTGGAAAACGGGTCCAGCGTCCCATATACAGAGTGAATCAAGAGGATGCCAAGAAAAGGAATGAGAGAATGCCTGCCAGCATTGATTACTCTGGCTTCCAGAGGATTGACTGTGCAGGTTGTTAAGAGATGGGAGGAAACCTCATCACCCTGGGCCGGGCGCCAGATGCCTGCTGCTGAGAAGCTAATTCCTCCCTCCTCCAACTACCCCTACCCAAATGTCATTTTCCAACTACCAGCCTGCCAGCATTGATTGCCCTGATTACCAGGGGATTAACTGAGCAGGTGATACATCTTGTAAATGAGTGAGCATTTGATAGGCACTACCCGGGGGGCACTGGGGAGGCTTATCTCACGCACTGTTAGGGAAAGACTTCCATCAGGGCAAGGGGTTGAGGGGAAAATGGGTCCATGAAATAAGACGGGGGTCTCATCGGGAAGGATGGATCCATATGAGTCTAGTCATTGAAAACGAGTCTGTAGTCTCTCGGGATTCCATGTCCTGTTATAGCGGCCTGGTCTCCCGTCCACTCAATCCGAGCCATCCATCCGCCCCGATCTCCCCCTAGCCATTCCCCGCAGAAACCGGTAATCGCCCTCTTAATACCCTGGTCTGTCTGATAGATATCTAACTGTGGCTTAAGATCCCTCCATCCACGCCTCAGCTCCAATTGTATCAGCTCCCTTATTTGTTCTGTCAATTCGGGGCCTTCGATTTTAACCCCTTCCAAGACTAAGAGGCAGCGCTGCCACCAGACCGCCCATAGGATGGATCGTCTACCCAAGCTGTACAGGTTGCTGGCATAGGTAGGGGCGTTTTCCAGTGTTGGGCAGTGTCCTGTCAATATGGCCTGCCAAGACCATGGCCAAGGAGTGTCCGTACCATTTTCCTCCAGATGTGGTCCCACCACCGCCATGTCAGTAAGGCCACTGAGCACTGCATAAAGATATGTTCAATGGTTTCGTTTTTTTTTGCATTGGGAAAGCAGACAAGCATCAATGGCACCATGGGAGCGCTTTTCCTTTTTGTTCCAGATGTGTATGGTCAATTAGCCAAGCATTCATCGGCAGGCAGCGATGAGCGATCTGCCATTGTAAGGAGGTAATTTTTGCTGGTCTCGCTTTGTTTCCATTAAACCATTTAATTGGCTTAAGGAGGGACCGATCCACGTTCAGGTGTTTAGCCCATCTGTCGTTGATTTGATCTTTTAGCACTCTCTTGGGTCTAAGCATCTTATACATGGATTTGACATATATAGTGTTGAGGTGGACCCTTTTTCCAGTTACCGCTGCTGTTTTCTGGGCTGTCTGTCAGTGCCATTCCTCAGGGTCAAAGGGCAGCTCATTTATTGGTGTTTGGGGAAAGAAGGCGGTGGAGTTTTGCCCCCCTTGTAGCATGCGCACTCGAAACACCTCGTTATTTTCTTGCCACTCAAAAAGGTTGCGAGAACCAAGAAACCTCCCCCTAGGACCAATATCGTAATATTCCACCGACATGTCTGATGTCAGTACCATATGAATCTGGCCAATCCGTGCCTTGTCCCCTGGTGTAGCGACTCGGTCCCCCTCCTCCAAAGTGGGGCCACGATTGAGCACCTTATACCAGGCAAGGGGGAGTGCTTCAATAATTGTTTCTAGGTGCCTCTCTGTGTGATGACAGTAGCGGAGGGTGCCTTGAAGCTGGGTTGCTGGTTTCCAGTCCTTCCTCTCATGGTCCCACAGGTGCCGGACGCGGAGTATCCCATTCTTCACCCAACCTTTCCAGGGGGCAGTTGAGCTGTTCAGAATTTGTTCATGACAAGGAGTAATCCACCGGTTATTGAACAACGGTTGTCGGTATACTTCCTCCCACCGCATCGGTGCCTGTTTCTCGGGGAGGGGGAGCCTGCGCCAACTTTTTAATAATGAAAATTGATCTGTTGTTTTGCCGTAAATCTTGCGCGGGATTGACCAATAGCGATCATCTAACCATGTGAGCGGGCTAACCTCTGGTGGGGTTGGAGGAGCCAGACGGGCAATATGCTCAAGGGCGAGGGTTCCCCAAGGGTTGTCCAAGGAGAAGATCAAAATCTTCAGCCATTTAAGATGGAGCACCTGAACTTGTACAATCCTCCCATTTAGTCCTTATCCTGGGCTAGACCACAAAATGTGCATGATAGCGCTAACCTTTCGAAAGAAATCGGACCAAGGCCTAGGTTTCTACAAACTAAATACCTCTTTACTTCGTCTCAAATCATTTCAGAGGTACTTGACTTAAGTTTGGGCATATTGACAAGAACCTGCGTAGCACCCCGTTCGCGTTTGCCAGCGAACGCGAACGCGAACACGTTCGCCCGAACGCGAACGGGCTCCGAAAATCAGCGAACGCGAACTTTTTTTTTTTTTTTTTTTTTGTAAATATATATATAGGTCAGGGGGGCATGGGTGGTGTCCCTGACCCCCGACAACCCCCTCCCCCGACCCCCTACTCCCCTCCCCGGTGTCTGCGAAGTGGGGGCTCTCATTACACCC